TATATATATATATATATATATATATATATATATAAACATACATATATATATAACATTAGTTAACACAAACTAACAATGAAAAATACTTAAAGCATTTATTATTTAATAATTAAATATTTAGTAATAAATAACTGAAATTAAAAGTCGAATCCGTTAATATTATTTAATGAACCTAAAGCTAACATGAACTAACAATGATCAGTTGTATTTTTATTCATGCACATTTTTAGTTAATGCATTAACTATGTTAACTAATGGGACCTTATTGTAAAGTGATACCATATAAATATTGTAAATACAGTCCCAATTTACCCGTGTTCACCCTTCATACTACAGAATTTTATAAACATTGCACTGTAGCATAAATGCATAGAAAATGAAAATGGACTCAAAGTTTGAAAACCTTACTTTTAAATAATACAACAATTTTGTATTATTCAAAAGAAAGGTTTTCAGACTCTAAATGTAAAATCTGCAGCTTGAGAGTTTGCTTATAACTTGTTAAAATAAAGGGTCTGACAAAACGAAGGCCTGTATATTTTGGAGGGGTTTCGTAATGTGCTCTTTGTCACTTTCTGTAGTATGAAATGCACTTACGAATCATAATTGTCTCTGAAGCCTTTTGCGAAGGGGTTGTGATCGATCTTGAGCTGTGTGATCTGCAATTAAACACAAACACCAGGAGTTCAGAAGCGGAGCAAAATGCAGAAGTGGCTGCAGGGAGCTGCGGCTGGGTTTCTGCTTACGTCTGTGTTCTGGTAAGCCGTTACAGCGATGAACTGGTTTTCAGGGAAAGTGAAGGTCTGTGTTTTAGCTTCATTGCTCATGTCCTCCACACCATCCTCCGACACCTCCACGATGTGCAGCCGAGGCTGGTATTTATGCAGGGACTGCAAGACGATCATCTATTTGAACACACACACACACACAAACAGACGGCATCAGTGTTTGCGCAGAGTTCATGGCCAGTGCTTGCAGTTAGACATACAGAGGTGTCAAAGCCACACTGAAGACCTCTGAGATGACTGGAAGTTTCTACACGCACGCAGACTCATCTTTATTTTTAAATGCACCAGATGCATCAGTTCTTTGCAACTTGTACTAAAACATCAGTAAATTATTAAGATTCGAAGGTCCTGTTTTTTCATTCATATTTGGTGTTAAAGACAGTATACTTCATGCCTTAGTTTAAAAACATCACTTCCCATTAATAACATATCAGCACTTTTTTTCTTCTTTTTTAAAGTCTTCTGTGTTTTAGCTTCATTGCTCATGTCCTCCACACCATCCTCCGACACCTCCACGATGTGCAGCCGAGGCTGGTATTTATGCAGGGACTGCAAGACGATCATCTATTTGAACACACACACACACACAAACAGACGGCATCAGTGTTTGCGCAGAGTTCATGGCCAGTGCTTGCAGTTAGACATACAGAGGTGTCAAAGCCACACTGAAGACCTCTGAGATGACTGGAAGTTTCTACACGCACGCAGACTCATCTTTATCTTTATTTTTAAATGCACCAGATGCATCAGTTCTTTGCAACTTGTACTAAAACATCAGTAAATTATTAAGATTCGAAGGTTCTGTTTTTTTCATTCATATTTGGTGTTAAAGACAGTATACTTCATGCCTTAGTTTAAAAACATCACTTCCCAATAATAACGTGGTTCGGATCGGCCAGAATAACCTCCACAAACACGTTATAATGCGCCGTCAGGTTCAGTCCAGTGATATTAAAACTCAGAAAGGGGAACATTCGCCTGCGAATATGATCGTTAATAAAACACGAATTAGGACGGATTCGGGTTCGTTTTATCATCCTGCGAAAATGAATTCGTTATTCAAATCAGGCGTATAATTTTATTAAATTGTAATTAACATATTATATGTTTGAAAAACTATTTTAAACCATGCATTTATGTTCTAAATTGCTTTTTTTTTTTTTTTTAGCAAAACTTTAGGCTACCAGACCAGACAATATTTTTTTCCAGCGCATGAAGTTTTCATTCTCACCTGCCCTGTTTGGTGATGATCATCTCAGTCTGATGGCGATGAAATTTGAGCCACAGCGGTCTGTTACACAGGTAAACCTGCGCCCTCGCCGCGGAGCCCGAACCCGGGATGGGCATCGAGCTCAAACCGGAGCCCGGTCCGGGATAGGACGGGTACAGACACCCGGGACCCTGTCCGAACTGATAGCCGCTTCCAAACTGACTCCGACTGGCGCACACGGCGGATGAGAACCCGGCGGGCGGAAGAACCGAGCCGTAATGCAGAGACGACGAATACCTGGACCCGTTTGCGCCGCTGTACACCGACCCGGTCTGGCCTCCGTACGGGAAGAGAGAGCACGGGTTGGTCACGTCGGAGCTCGGTTGGGTCGAGGTTATGAAATAGCGATCAGTGCCCAGCTCGTCGATGTTGTAGCGGCGGGCGCTGGACAGCTCATCATCTCCACCGATCACTGGGGAGGTTTTACGCGCGTCCGGTGCGACGGCCGCCGCTACTGCTGCTTTTGTCCCGGGGAAGCTCTCGCTGTCAGTCTCATCCATCAGCGCGCTCCCACCGCTCAAAAACTTCTTGGCCCCGGAGCTCTGCTCGGCTTCAGTCCGGTCCATGTCCTGAAAGTCGATCTGCGTTGACCCTGGGCTGTTGTTGGTGCTCTCTGAGGACGACGACAGGTTATAGAAGGTCTTGGGTAAGTTTACAGATGCGCCAGGGAGGATGCTTTCTAACTGCATTCTTCAATGTACTGATGAGGATCAATCAAAAGCAGGTGGAGATCAATAAGTAGATCACACCAGGACGCGGATCCGTGCGCCCCGCAGCTTGACCTCTGAAGCGACACCTCCGGATTTTCAACTGTAATCTGTGAGTGACAGAATTGTTTGAGAGTGTTTATATATGAGCCCACTCGAGGGGGCGGGGCCTCGGCAATTCGTGCGTTCTGAACGTTTTCTCATTGGCTCGGAGGCCTTCGTTTTTAACTCTACTACTATTTAAAACACATGCATTTTTGTTCTTTTTTTAATTTTAGCCAGGGCTTCTATTTTTATTGACTTAAAATGTATTCTTGGTAGAAAAGTAGGCCTACTGTTATTAACAATATTTTTTTTTATATATAGGCTATATTTAATTGGAATGTCTACAATTTGTAGTTTGACTAAAACTTTCCTAACAGAACATTTCAAAATTCGTTTCCAGCCAATTAATGAGTGTTAATTTGAGACTGACATTGAACCCACAGAGGAACTTGACACCATTTTAGAAGCACCGAAAACAAAACAATTAACGAGTCCTCCAGGCTGACCTGAGAACGGTTTTACTTGGCAACCCAAATAATTAACAAACGATTAACGGGGAAACCAAACTCACCACAGACTGTCAGGCAGCACCGCCATGTCTGGAGTTCGTCGTGTGGCAGGGGTTAGAGTTGAACCCTCTCCGGCTCAGTGTGTTTGGGGTTAATCACGCTGCACCTGCACGCGCTCAGACGCTTTTCTCTTCTTTTCGGCGCAAAAAACTCGACCAGCAGCGTAAGTTCTCTGTTGTTGACAACGAAACGCACAAGTAAACATTCGAAAATTTAGTGAGATTTTAACGTGCAATTACCCAATGCATTTCCCCTATAGAAAAGTGTTGTTTATTTATATATTTAAATGCCTAATCTACGTGTTCTAATGTTTATTTCTATTGTGAACTCCGTTTCAGCGTCTACATGATCCGGGCGAAGAACTGCTGGAGATTGTTTTCGGCTTGCACGAGGTGAGTGTGGCGTGAGACGCGCTCGTGCGTCACCTGAGGGGTTCTAAAAAAAAAAAAAAAACCTTGCGCCTTTAATAATAATAATATAAACAGGCTTAAAATATACCCCGGTTTAAAAATAAATATATAGTTAAAGCAAACAAATACAGTCATTCATGTTTTTATGTAGCTATTCTCTTTAGAATTAAAATTAATAAACAACATATTAGCTCATTGAAAATAGGCGTAACTTTTTGTTCATAATTCCTAAATAACCAATAATAAAAAATTAATGCTTTTAAGCTACTGAATAAAGTATTTATTTCTCGAATGCTCATATTTGTTTATTAAATAGGCTACCATGCATTCATTAGGCTATTATATGTTTAAAGCGAAACATTTGCTGCGTGCTCGAAATAAGCAGGTTGTGTTTATCAAAACGTCTGGACGATTCAAACAATATCCGGACACATTTTCAAAACGAGAGGAAGAAAAAAAAAAACACCCAGGTCAACAGATGGAAAAACAATTGAGCCCCAGTTCACCATAAGGTAATATCTGATTGTCTTTATCATCAGGCGGTGGTAATAAAAAAAGAGAGGGGCGGGGGCAAATCCCACCCGGCTCAACCCCTTTCCAAGCTCAGGGAAACCGGCCAATTATTTTTCCGTGTGAAGGAACCGGTGATCGTGAAGGAAGAGACAGCCGGGCGGATAGACACCGCCTTATTAAAAACCCTTCTGTACTACAAAACTGATAAAAGAGAGAGAGAGAGAGAGAGAGAGAGAGGCCACAAAAACGCTCCTCGAAGTTCGCGAGATGCGATATACGGAACCACGCTGACCGGGTGGCGATAATGGTCGGTTACCCGGAAAGGGTCACCCGCTCAGCGCGAGAGCTCTTTAATGAAAAACCCCACCGGGTGTCCTCATCAAACCCATCCGCTGACTCTCTTTAGCTCGTCATTGTAATTAAAATTCCTCGATGACAGCCACGGGCCGGATGACAAATTAAAGAGAGTCTGTTATACATTTAATAAGTCACAGGTTGTGGTTATATTACTCGCGAAAAACACTATCATGCATTAACCTATTCACACTTGAAATTACATTTCTATGTGGCCCATTTGAACTCTTTCTAGTTGCTGTCAGAGTGATAACATGATTTGACCTGCTGCTGCTCTCACACAGTATTCCTTAAATCAACCTGAATCTTTAAAATAAATACTCAGTCATTATCAATGTAATGAAAAACCAAAGTTGGATTCGGACTTGTCTTTTCAGCTCAGTCGGTGTGTCTAAATTATGAGATCAAATCCTGAAATCATCTCAACTGATAGTATGAGAAGGTGTGATGTAAAGACGATCCACACAAAGCACCTGAGAAACACACACACACACACACACACACACACACACTCACTCGCGCAGGAATGATTATGCTTTCTCACCTGATCGATCCCGGGTCCCAAGTGCCTTGTAGTTTTTAAGGTGTGAGATTCACAAGGATTAGCTCCCAGCTAAGAGGAATATTGAGACGAGAACGACTTCTCCGTGCAGAATACAGAATTCTGCTTTTTTTTTAGACTGTCATTCATACACTCTTAAAAGTAAAGGTTCATTATTGGCATCTATATGGTTCCATGAAGAACCTTTCCATTCCACCAAAGGTTCTTTAGATGATTAAAATGTTCTTCACACTCAGAAAAAAAATGGTTCTTTAAAGAACGGTTCAGTGAAAGGTTCTTTGGGGAACCAAAAGCATAAATGGTTTTTCTACACTCTTGAAAATAAAGGTTCTTTATTGGCATCAATAGTTCCATGAAGAACCTCTAACATTTACATTTGACAAAAGGTTCTTTATAGTGGAATAAAGGTTCTTTGGATTACTGTTGTAGAAAAATGGTTCTTTTAATAACTGTTCACTGAAAGGTGCTTTAAGGAACCCAAACTGGATCTTCCATGGCATCGCTGTGAAACCCCCCATTTGGAACCTTTATTTTTAAAAGTGTATCTGCCATGCAATTAAAAGAGATCAAATAAAGAGTTAAAATAAGCTTTGGAACAGTTTCAACACTAAAGACTCTTTATTGCCGTCTATATGGTTTCATGACGGATCTTTAACATCAATGGAACCCTTTCCATTCCACAAAAGATTCTTTAAAGTGGGAAAAGGTTCTTTAGATTATAAAATGTTCTTCACTCTAAAATATAAAGGTTCCAAAAGGGGGTTTTCGCAGCGATGTCATTTTTTGGAACCTTTCCGTGAACAGTTCTTAAAAGAACCATTTATTTACTTAGTGTGAAAAACATTTTAATAATGTAAAGAACAATTTTCCACTTTATAAAACCTTTTTTGGAATGGAAAACAATCATGGATGCTAAAGGTTCTTCATGGAACCATAGATGCCAATAAAGGACCTTTATTTTTTAAGAGTGTTCACACTATGCTATTAAAAATTAAGGTTCCCAACTGCAGTTTTTGCAATGATTCCATTTTTGGAAGCTTTCAGTGAACAGTTCTTAAAATAACCTTTTTATTTTCTGAGTGTGAAGAACATTTTAATAATCTAAAGAACCTCCAGGGAGGTACCATGGATGTTTAAGGTTCTTCATGGACCATAGAAGCCCATAAAGAACCTTAACTTTTAAGAAAAAGGTTCTTCTGTTGAAAACATCCTTTTGGATCCTTTATTTTTTTTAAGTACATGAGTTGCTTTAGTTTATTGCTTTGTATATTTAGGCCAAAAATATGTGCGCACATTATCCATGTGCAGATGTGTGTTATGAGCAGGGAATATGTGTGTATATGTGTTTGCATGTGTGCAATCTAGAGATGTGTGAAGAATTTGGGGAAAAGGGGCTAAAAATCTGTGAAAAGACAGAGAGGGGGGCTGGAACTCAGCTGGAAACTGATTGGCTGCCAGCCTGAGGAGGAAATAAGAATCTGCTGTCCTCTCCGGGCTGGGACCTCGGTGACCGGGCGCAAGATGTCTGCCACGGCCCCCGAGGGCCCCGTGGCGTCCCCTCAACACTCCTCTGCCTCTGAAAGCGTATTTCTCATTTTATTATTGACTCAAAATGCCACCCAGTCTTTATTTCCCTCGCTCGGTTTCTCTCTCGCTCTCTCCGTCCTGAGCGCACAGGAGAGAGTCGGGCGAAAGGCTGCGGGTGAATCAGGGTCACTCAAAATCAATACTGTGCTTTTAGATGGGACAGATACATAAGGGACGGTAATAGTCTTAAATGTTCTTTTGTAACTCTCAGAGGCTTTTAGAGGGGTAACGGTGGAGTTGGGATCCTGACTCATTTTTAATCACAAAACTGTGAGTATTTTCATTGTGGTTAACAGTACTGAAGATCTGGGTCAGCCAGAGTGATTTCACTCGGACACTCATGACTATAATGCATATTTCTACGGTAGGCCAGACATGCACATGAGATGTCATTAATGCACATGAAAAATGTGTGTCTTGTTTTCATAGGTGCTGTATAGATCAAGCTTATTATTAGTGGCATGAACACATTTTTTTTTCTTAAATGCGTGTGAGCATCGTAGTAAACTGCACAGTTTGTGCTACAAACCGTAATGAAACCTCATAACATGCCTATTTTTTGAAAATTAAAAATGCATGCCCTTGCAAAAAACAGGCCATTTACAGCATGTAATTGATTATTTAATTTAAACTCAAAGTAAAGTAGTTTATTGGCATGATAATGTGTGTTTACAATATTCCCAAAGTATTACACAAAACAAGTAATGACTAGAAAAAGAAGCATTCAGTATAGCAATAACAATAAAATAAGTGTTAAGTAATGAATAAAATAAGATAAATATAAATAAATATTATATATGATTATATATATATATATATATATATATATATATATATATAGCCTATATATGATACCTTGTAACATGCCTATTTTTTGAGTAGAGGTGTAGTAGTCATTTTCAAAGTGATTAGAATGATGATTTTTACTTGGTAGATGATAAAAAATTTGAAAAAGCTTGCATATGCATGTGTATTAAATAGCTAATTAAATAAGTAATATATATAAAAATATATATATATTATGTGCTATTAAAGTGATGCGGTTTTCAGTCTACTCCCCGGCAGCAGGAGTGACAATCGCCATGCACGCGTTCGCGCCCTTTGACCTTTGACCTGTCATGTCACGCCGCTGAATGCAGACCTGACGTGACAGCGGCATATCAGCGCGTGCCTTGCGGTGGCGTCGCCGCGCGCGCTAAATGTTCTAGGCGTGTATCATACCGCGGCTCCGTTACTGAGGTCAGACGACAGACTGGAAATACATTTACCCTCAAACGACTGTCAACACCTCGCTAGACCCGACGAACAGAACAGGCCATTTACAGTCTCAAGGTCTAGGCCTAATCGATAAATGATTTCAGTTCAATTCAGTTTGAAGTACTTAATTGGCATGATTGTGTTTGCATAGAAATTGTCAAAGTGTTATACAACAAAACAAGTAATGAAAAGAAAAATAAACATACAATATAACAAATTACAATAAAATCGTATTAAAATAAGGTGCTAAGTAATGAATAAAAATTATGTTTATATCTTACCTCATAACATGCCTATTTTTCAGTAGAGGTGTGCTATAAATTTTCTAAATGTTTAGAATTATTATTTGTAATATATATATATATATATATATATATTAATTCTAATTTTAAGAATCCTGACTGACTGAAATTTTAATTAGTGAGTCTTTACTAGTCTTATTCTAGTATCTATAATATACTATTATAGTTTTTATTAATATTTTGAATTAGATTTTTAGATTAGATTTTCTGTTTTCGTTGTGATTTTGAAGTTTTAATCATTTGGTACTTTTTTTTAAGTGTCTGTAGTTTTTATTCATTTTTATTTATTAGTTTTAGTTTTAGTTATTTTAGTACATCAAGTTAAACTAAACAAAAATGAGAAATGTTGCCTTGGCAACTATAGCATACTATATATATATATATATATATA